CTTCACTATATCTCTTCTTCTCCATTTCTCTTTATGAATTCTCTCCCTTTCTCTCGCTCCCTCGCTCTCTTTCTTCCTTCTTTTCTCTCTACTTTCAAATTCCGTTTATCTATCTCCCTCCCGTTCTATCTTTCTGCCTTGTTTTCTGCCACGTTTTCACCGACTCTCTCTCTTTCTCTCTCCTTCATTGTCTCCTCTTCTCTTCTTTCCTGTCTCATTTTTTATTCCTTTGCACTTCCCTCTCTCCCATTCTTCACCACGCACATGCACACACGCATCGCCCGCATTTAAAACCCAATAGAGAATTTTGTTTTTCCACAAGGGCAAATATTGCTCTGAATCCGTTTTTTTATGTTTTGGGCTGTACCAAGAGCAAGTATGGGGCATTCCAGAAATTTCTTGTAGAAGACTCACACGCTGGCATGTAGACTGCGTTTTTTCAAGGTGCCAAAATTTGTATTGGCACCAAACCAATTCCAAGAGTCTCTAATAGCTCATGGCGTCACAGAGATGCTCTTTTTGTGAATTTACTACTGCGTTGAATGTTCCTTTCACGCCCCAAGCAATCTCAAGACATATATACATATATATATATATATATATATATATATATATATATATATATATATTATATATATAATTATTTAAACGTTATTTTTAGTGGATACACATTTTCGAGTAGATGCTCTGTTTATTTATTAAAAACTATATTATTTATTTATTTTCGTCTACCGGCCTGAATATTTGAGAAATCTTATTAAAGAAAATATGCGGTCTCAGGCAGGATTCGAACCTGCGTCCCCTACGAGACTTGCAGCAATGGTTAACAACGCACAACTTTGTATAAATATTTATATTAATGAACAGCATATAGTTTTGTATTTCTTGCACTCCTGAAGATGATCTTGGAAAAAGATCGAAAGTACTTGGGAAATAAAAATAAAAGAAATTTAAACAGCTATAGCATTTTTCTCATCCTTTAACATTAATACACGGAAAGTTATTCGTGAGCATGAACGGATTTTGTTAAAATTAGCAGACATAATGTCTGTAATTTATTCAATCAGACATGCCTAAAAAGAATTCTTTTGCTGCCTAAATACACAAATTTAATATATATATATATATATATATATATATATATATATATATATATATATATATATATATATATATATATATATATATATATATATATAAATTTAACTAGTGATGTTAAAAAGAATTTAATGTTCAAATCTCAATCGATCTACGTTTCGTGGACTTGTTTTTATACCGTCATGTTTGTAAAAGTCCTGTGTACTTGATGTCGAATAGAAATTTTAATCTCCATAATAACAAAATCCCGACCAGTTCGCATGCTTCGGCAGAATCAAATTTCTCGTTAATTCTTTTAGTTCACAGACAACCATTTTTGTACCTGCTTTATAATTTTAATCCCAATTCTGCTAATAGGACAATATTCTGTAGCAAAATTGATGGCAGACATTATCATATATATGTGTCTTTGTGTGTGCGTGCGTGTGTGCGTGTGTGTGTGTGAACCTTAAATCAACGCCCAGCGGCGACAGTCTGTTAAACGCAATCGTCAGGCTATCGATTGCGTTTAAGCATGAAACAGACTGTCGCCGCTGAGTATTGACTTCAATGTCTACTTTTATAATTGCATAATCTCTATCCCTGATATCGAGCACTTTAACCCATAAATATAGCATACCTTAAAACTATATATATATATATATATATATATATATATATTAAGACATTTCCCATTGAATAAAGTTTTGTCTACTTAATTTCAATATGATCCTATGACATTGATATTCATAGTATCCCTGTTAAAGGAAAAGAGAAAATTGCCATGTTGATACATATTCATTTATTGAGTACTTTCGACATTACCAGAATGTTATCATCAGAGTGTTGTTTCTTTTTATCTAAGACAAAAATTTTGTATTCATCTGAAACTTAAATGAGTTATTCAGTGAGACATGTCTTAATGAAAACATGCTGCAAATATATATATATATATATATATATATATATTACTTTTTGTGAAAATGACATATTTGGCTAGCCCTGCACTTACCATTGGCTACTCTATACCAGCAATATTTTTCAACTCCTAGTACCCGTGAAAATTATGTGGTTTTCCGTTTTTGATTCTTGTGATGAGTCATAATTTTTAATTTAAATCTTAATGATTTAAATCTTAAGGATTAAACGATCTTTACGGATTCCACAACTATAAAATTCCCCTCTTGCATCATTAAATATTTTGAGCCTAAATGCATTAACAAAACGAAGAGGAAAGCGTCTGTAGTTTATTCTCCACATAGCTTTGCCAGTTTCACCACGAAGTCGTTAGCGGGCGCTGTTAAGCACTTATAAAAACGGGAAACTTCTTGTCATCATCCTATTCTCTTTCTCTTTTCCGCCTAACATGTTGTAGCGACGACATCTAAGGCTAATTTTTTCGCCTCGGTGACTGAACTTCGTTGAGCTAAGATTCTTTGCTGCATTGGCAACAATATTTTTGTACATGTAAAAAACAAATGACAAATGGATGACAATTTCAATAAGGCAATATTTTTGCATTTTTGTTTTTATATAACTGGATAGAGAGAGATAGACACAGAGAGAGTGAGAGAGAGATGCACAAAGACGCATACACATGCACACACACGGAGAGAGAGAAAGAATGCACTAGCATGCAAAAAAAAAGATGACATTTGTTATGGTAATTTACCCACGCACGCATGGATTCTCTCAGCTATAAATAGGAGCAGGTACTGCCTTTTGGAGTGAGAAGTTTGTTTTTTACATCTACAAAAATATTGTTGCCAATGCTGCAAAGAATCTTAGCTCAACGAAGGAGCGACAATGTGAACGCAAGTTTGGGTCAGGGGTAGACCGGTATCTTCCACGGCAAAGGATGTTTGTACAACTTCGAGGTAATGTTGTAGTAGAGGAAAATGAGCGTTGCCATTGTGATAGCAGTGGAAATGTTTACATCTGAATGTGAATGCTTCGCTGTGTCCTTTCATGAAATATTAGTTTCGCCAATCCTTATTAGCATAATCCTTTGTGTATAAGACGCAGGATTTTCCCTCCAAAATCGTGTCCAAATGTCTGCTGCGTCTTATACAATAATTTAGAACTCAAACCTATTTTCTCCTTACCGTCAATGTAAATATACCCTTTTAATTGGATTCGATCTCATTGAAATCCTATGATTGTACATTGTTCCTTGTAATTTATGACCCCTTTTCCGGGCGCACAAACCACTAAATTTGTGTATACCTAAAAATTAGTAAAATTTGCTTTTATTATTTGTGTGTGTGTGTGTGTGTGTGTGTGTGTGTGTGTGTGTGTGTGTGTGTGAGCGCGTGCGCGTTTGTGTGTGTGCGATAAGAGGTTGATATGAAATATCCATAGTATATGAACTGAAATACTTGAAAACCAGTTGTAAGTTTAATTTTTTTTATTATTATTAACGTTTCACTCTCAGCGAGCATTATCATAATGTTCGTTGAGCGTGAAACATCAACAAAGAAATAAGAAAGTAAACATCCAATTAGTTTTCACTTATTCCACCTGATATATATATATATATATATATATATATATATATATATACCATATTTGACAGCATATGATATGCGCTTTTTTTGCCAAAAATGAATAAAAAATTTCACTGATATGCGAAGCTGAGGCCAGACGAACGGGTGGGTCCATATTCATATTTATTTATGTTCGTTATCCACCTTTCTATGTCTGTGATGGGATGTGAGATGCGTCATGTCTACGATTGAATGCGAACTAATAATAATAATAATAATAATAAATGGATTCTGAGAACTGTCAGTTAGTGGCACGTGTACAAGCACCGTTCGCGTCTCGCACATATTCAAGGTTGCATCTGTTTGCCTAGTTAAAGCATAAAATATAACTAAATGGTGGCTAGGCGAATTGTTTGTCAAAATCCCGGGTGTTGCAGTCGGGTAAATGAAAGAGTGTGTGTTGAGCGACTGGGTAAAAACAAATAGTCACACTGACGAACTGATACACTTGAAACAGGTATTTCGTTTTTGCTAGTATAAAAAAAAAGAAAAAAGAAAGTTTTGTACTGGAAGATATACTTACATAGACATATGAGTAGACTCCTCCAGAAAACCCGTTGATTTGTCAAATAGAAGAAAACCTCAACAGAAAACTTACGACACAGAAACTTTACTCCGTTATTCCATTTCAGCATAGCGTAACATGTAAACCCTTAGTTAAACATTCGCTAGCGCAAGCCTGGGGGTTATCCTGCGCTGCTGCAACAACCATATGAGGCCCTCCTAGATCGAAGTTCACAAAGGCAAGCCATGAAGATGGCTCCGTTCCATTATCTGTCTATATTTCTGAGGTGAGGTATTATGTACATTACTTACATTATTCGGACTATTGGGGAACTAGAACAGTCTACCCTAGTGAGAGAAATAAAGGGTTCAGTTCGACATTCCAACCACCTGAAGAAGGTCGGAGCGTACAACGGCTGAAACGTTGTAATAAATAAGGCGACAAAGATGAAGACAGTAGTCCGAATAATGTAAATAATGGCTCCGTCCCATATTCTACAATATTCTCTTGTCCCGAACAATGTCGTCCTATTTATCTATTTTCTCAAGCCTACATGATTCACTAACATTCTTTTCAGTGTTCTCGCCTTCTTCAACACTACAGTCTTCTGTGTCATGGATTCCCCTGAAATATCTCCTGATACCTCGTCACAAAAATAGAAACATTTATGAAATAATAGCTTTAGTTGTAGACTAAGCAAGAAAAAATGAAAAGACAAAACCTATATAAAACTCTGTAGAATTTTGCAGATTCAAACAAGACATATACGTTAACAGAGGTTGTAAAACCAGGGGTTCGAATCACGGTCGAGAGTGGGAAAATGAAAAAAAAAACTGCAATTTAAGGTTGGGGAGACAATCACTAAGAACAAACTACAAGAAGAGGAAAAAACCGAAGAGATTGTCGAGAAAATTGAGGTTTGCTGTCATCTGATCTTTAGCAATGGAGGTGCGAGATAAAGAAGAAGAAGAAGAAGAAGAAGAAGAAGAAGAAGAAGCAAATGAAAGGAAAAGAGTAAAAAGAAATAGAAGCAGCAAACTGAAGAAAAAAGATAAAGAAGTGAAAGAAAAAGCAAATGAGAAGAAGAAAAATAAATTAAAAGTTAATGGAAGAAGAAAAGAACAGAAAACGAAGTAAATGAAAGAAAGAGATGATGATGATGATGATAATGATGATGATGATGATGATGAAAGGAAGAAAAAAACGAAGTAAACGGAAAAGAAAAAAGAAAAAAAAAAAGAAGTAAATGGATGAAGAAGAAAGAAAAAAGGAAAGAAAGAAAGAAAATAATGAATAAAGAATAAACAGAAAACGAAGTAAATGAAAGAATGAGGAAGAAAGAAATGAAAGAAAAAGATGATGATGACAACGATCATGATGATGATGATGATGACAGAAAATGAACAAGTAAACGAAATAAAGGGAAG